CGGTCCCTTGTCTCTGCAGGTGCCCGTCCGGAGGAGCCCGCCAGCCCGGGACGATGCCCCGGGGCCAGGCCTGGAGCCCGCAGGAAGTGGGCTGCCTCCTGGCGCTGATCCGGGGCTGCGGGGCAGTGGGGCTGCTCATGGCCTCCACGTCGCGGCCCAACGAGGCGCGGTGGCGGGAGATCTCCCGGGGGCTGGCGGCCGCGGGCTACGGGCGCAGCGTGGCGCAGTGCCGCGCCAAGTGGAAGGCCCTCAAGCAGGCTTTCTACTCCGAGCGGGAGACCCGCCGGCAGCCCGGTGCTCGCCCGCCTCGCACACCCCCTCACTACCGCGCCATGGAGAGGCTCTGGGAGGCCGCTGGCCGGCCCGTCTTCGGAGAGCGGCGCCTGCCAGGTGAGCGGGACCAGGCCCCTGAGACTACTGGGAGCCACGCAGCGTCGTGCTGCGGGCATGGCCGGCACCCGGATGCCTCTGCCTCCCCAGCCCAGGGTCCCTTCTGCAGCAGGAGGGGAGCCCTCGGCCAAGAGCAGGTCCTGCACCCAGCTGTGGCCACCCCATGCAGGGGGCTGGGATCCCCTCGGGGGTGTGGGGTGAGCCCCATGCCGGGCAGCTCCGTCCCTGGGTGGGGTTTCCATTGCCCTGCCATGTGGCCGTCCCGCTGTGCCTGACCTCTCTCTCCTTTCCAGCCCTGGCGAAGCTGCCGCCTGTCAGGCGTCGACCATCCCTCCAGGCCCGGTCTCCATCCGCACCAGAGCTGCCAGGTACCCTCGGGCGGGTGCTCGGGGCCTGGCCTACAACGGGACTGGGGGAGGGACAGGCAGGAACCAGGGGCTGCTTTTGTTCCCCTTCTGCCACTTCGTCCCATCCACAGGCAGCCTCTTGGCACTTGCATCCATCACCTGCCCCAGGAGGTCTCTGGGTCCCAGGGTCAGGGGTGCTGCTCTGTGCGGCTGTTGTACTGGTTTGGGGGTGCATGGCGGGGACCACTGTCCATCTGCCCTGCACCCTGGCTGTGGGCTCCCTGAGTTGGCCGTCAGAGCTGGCACTTGGGAGGATTAGGGTGCAAACCTAATCCCTTTCCCACCCCCCAGGTGTGGGGTGCCACGGGTGAGCCATCCGGCTGCAAGTATCGCCTTGCCCAGCCGGCTTCTGGGAGGCAACCCGGGGTAGCGCGGCTCTGGCTCCATCCTGCTCCCAGCAGGCTCGGGGAAGGGCAGCAGGGCACGGGACCTTTCTCTGGGGCTGCGGCCCCATCCAGGCACTGGCACAGGCTGGGGGGAGGCAGGGCTCTGCTGTTCCACGTGGTGCCCAGGCCTATACGGATGCCTGCCCCTCTTCCCTGCCCACTGATGCCACGGGAGGACTTGCTTCTCTGCGGTGGGGACCCCGCGCCCAGCCGAGGCACTGCACCACGGAGGAGGGGTCTCTGTCCAGGCTGTGGCCAGCCATGAACCTGGCGTCCTGGCCACATTTCACCTTGGGAAATCACGCCTCTGTCTCCCAAGCCCCCCGCCCCCTGGTTGTTCACGAGGACATGGGGTTCTTCACTTCCTGCCCGAATCTGCCGGGTAGCGTTGGTGCGCCCTGTTACACAGCCGCCACCCTCCACCCCAGAGGTGGCTGCATTGCAGGGCTGGGTGAGTTACTCCTGCCGGCCTTTGTCCATAGCTTGTATGATGCTGTGAGCCCCGCGGGGCTGTGGCCAGGGGGGTGTGACGGGTGCCAGCCTGGAAGCTGATCCAGGGCCAGAGCTAGTCATGCTCTCAGCAGCTGCCATCAAACCACTCTTGAATCTCCCCCCACAGCTCCCCAGGATGCAACCTCCCCGGCACAGATGGTTCCTGCTCCTGTAGCATGTAAGACTTGTTACCCACTTGCCCTGGGGAGGTCCCTTGGCCCCGTGCCCCCTGACACTGCCTGAGCCCAGCCTACCGCAGGCCCCTCTATGGGCAAGCATTGGGGGGGCCACGAGGGGGACCTGGGGCCGTGTGGCTGCCCCAGGATCAGTGGACAGAATGGGCTGTGGCAGGAAGGTGCTCGTGGCAGACACGTGATTGTCATTCCCTCCACAGACTCCCCCGGGGAGCATCAGGCAGAAACAGCATGGGGAGCCCAGGACCCAGCAGTACCAGTCATTGCCGGAGACCAGGCTCCACCGGAGACCGCGGTGGAAGATGAGCACCTGGACAGCGAGGAGGCATCAGCTGCAGCCCTCCAAGGTACACCAGCCTTGGCAGCCGCCCGCGGCCCCCCAGCCGCCATGCTGCCCATGTCCCGTCGCTGCACAGAGATGCAGCCGCGTGGCCTTGGTAGGGCCTAGGGCGGGTCTGTGCTCTGCCCCAGCCGGCATGCCATGGCGGTTGTGGGTGCAGCAAGTTTGCTGGGTCTCAGTCTGGCTCCTAGCAAGACGGATTGCAGCCTCCATCCCCGCCACAAGCCCTCTCGGCCCTGGGCAGCTGGAGAGGCGTTCGGGGCTGCGTCCTCACTCCCCAGGACTCTCTTGGGACAGGCTATTTCCTCTCTCCAGTTCCCTCCTGGCTGGACCTGGAGCAGGGCAGAGCTCACCCGAGGGGCCCCAGGGAGAGGGGCAAAGTGCTGGGGTGGGGAACGCAGGGCAGGGCATGGGCAGCTGCAGCCTGCCGTGCTGGGCAGGGGTGAGCACTGTCCCTGGGCAAGCAGGGAGCCTATTTCCTCTGCTCCTGGGGGGAGCTTGGAGGGGATATGAAGTTCAGGTAGGGGATGCTCCTTCCTCCCTGCACCCTGGGCACTGGCAGGTGGGGCAGGAGCCCAGCGCTCACCCCTGCACCCCGTCTGCTTGCAGGCCCCGGTGCGGCGCACCTGCTTCAGAGCATGCAGCAGCTGCTGGTGCAGATCCTGCAGACCTCGCGACGGCAGCAGGCGCTGCTGGAGAGCCTGGCCAGCGACACCGTGTCCCGCCTGCACGGCCTCTCCGACAGCCTGGCCCAGGTGGGCGAGACCCTGCAGGAGCTGCTGTTGTGGGCGCAGCCCCACCCCACGGCCCCTGGGGGCCTGCCCACCCTGCTCAACCCCGACCTCTGCCCCAGGGCCGGCTCCCAGCCCCCGCTCCTTCCCAGGGAGCCCGGTGTCCCCAGCGCCCCCCGCACCCTGCCCTACCGCAAGGAGCCCGCAGTGCCCCCCACCTCGGCCTACCCCACACCCCGCTTCACCCCACACTGAGGAGGGGGCAGGGGGTCTAGTGTGTGGGGCCACTGCAGGGGCTGGCCTAGTGAAGCCCCTGGGTCTTTGGGGCATTTTTACTGTTTTTAATAAAACGCAGAGGGTTTTTCACCCTGCTCAGAGCTGACTCGCTCACCAGGGCAGGGGGCGTCTGCTCTCTGGGGATCAGTCTGAGACACCGAGGGGCAGGGGCAACTTGCAGGCCCGCCTGGGCATAGCCTTGGGGTCCCTGGGGATGGGGACGGTCGCTGCAGGGCAGCTGGGGCACGGCAAGTCCCTGCCCTGGGTAAATGGCGCAGTGCCGGCCTGCGGGCTATGCGGCCTTGCTGACCCCACCAGGGCTTTGATCCGCCTGCAGCCCTGGGAGCGGGGAGCCTGAGCGCCAACACCCTCTCAACCAGCCATGCTGGGGCTGTTCAGCCCTGCTACCAGCTGGGGTGGAAACGACCCCATGTTAGCAGGGGGCCCAGCCCCTGGCCTGGGCCATGAGAAGGAGGGCCTGGCTCCTCCCTGCAGGTCGGGAAGCCCAGTGGGGGTGGAAGTGAGCACGCACCTCTGGCTGCAGTTGTCACCTTTATTGCAGTCGTCACTTCTATTGCACCATGGAGCACTGGTGACGTGAGCTCTGCCCTTGGCCTCTGGAGCCAGGCGGTGCTGGGAGCAGTGGGCAGCGCCTGCCCACCCCGCCTGCTCTGCTGAGCGGAGCCTCAGTTGCCTGCAGGGTCGTTAGTGCTAATGGTTTGCAAGGCACCCCTGGGCCTGAGCTCTGAGCCCCTTCCCCCCTCCCCTGCCCACAGCCGGACCTGCTCCTGCAGGGACACGGAGGGGGAATCACCCCTGTCCTCCCCTTCCCAAGGGGCTCCAGGGCCAACCCAGCCAGCGCCAGGCAGCTGCACGGCCCCTGGCTGGGAGCAGGGACCATGTTATTGGAGTGCCAGGGGTCTCAGTCCACGCTGGCTGGAGAGGTAGGGGGAGGAGCTGGGGGTGGCCTGGTACCACCCCCTAGTCCTGCCCTAGCAGCAGTAACACACTGACACAGGTGGGCTTCTGCGGGGTGAGAGGGATGGGGACACCGGCTGTCGTGCCCTGGGCACCGTGGTGCAAAGGCTCGGCGTTGCTGGTGCCCTCTCCCTAGGAGGGCCATGGCCACCCCAGCATCCTGACCACAAGCTTTGCCCAGAGAGGCAGAGAGCAGGATACAAAGCAATGGCTTCAAGTTGCAGCACAGTCGGTTTAGACTGGATCTCGGGAATCACTTCCTCACTGTCAGAGCAGGGAGGCCATGGGAGAGACGCCAGGGACTCTCCATCGCTGGAGGAGTTCAAAGAAACGCTGGGCAGTCCCTGGGTGGGGATGCTCCCAGCGCAGCTGTGCCCATGCTCTACTAGCGGGGGTTTCAGGCTTCTGGGCTTTGATGTTCCCTCTCTGCCTTTCTGCTACATCAGGGGCTTTTGCCTCCCTCAAAGGCACTGCGTGTTGGCTGTAGCCCAGGCTGGGGATGGAGATGGGGCTGTGCCAATGCTTCTGCTGGGACCAACCCCGCAGGGTCTTGCCCCTGTGCTGTCAGACCAATGCTGCACTGGGGCAGGAAAGGATTTCCCCCCCGATCAGATTGGGCCGGGGCAGGGGGGAGGGGGGCTGCCTTCCTCTGCAGTGTGGCACGGCCTCTGCCTGGGGTCTCTCAAATGTATATTAATGCCCTTTGCAGCACCAGGACTTTGGCTGCCACAGCCCCCTGCTTTCCCTGCACGGGGTCGGGGTCGGGGACGATGCCTGGGGCTGTTTCGGGGTGATGGTGTCATGCTGTTCAGAGGTTGGACTGTGGATGTGTCTGGGCTGGTTTGGACAGGGCTGATCCTGCCTCAGGCAGGGGCTGGACTGGATGTGACCACCGAGGTCCTTGCCAGCCCCACTTCTCTACGACTATGACTCTAGGACAGGCTCTATTGCTCTGCACAGGGCTCTGGGCTGCTCCTGCTGCCAGCAGACAGGAGCAGGCAGGGCTTGGCGAGGTTAGTCTGTTAGTGTGAAGGGAGCTGGGACAGGGAGTGGGCAGTGATGCCCAAGGTCATCCAGGGTCAGGCCGGGAGCGGAGCCCAGCCCCAGTTAGTGCTGAAAACTGGGTTACAGAAGCACCTGCATAGCTTAGTTTTCCTGGACTCCCTCCAGCCTGGGGCTGAGAGGCCCTGCTGGGCACCACCCCCGAGCAGGCCGCGTGCCCAGGAGCTGCAGGGATGCAGGACCCAGCCTCCCCTCCAAGGGATGCAGCATTGACATGGGCCGCGCACTAGCACGCAGCAAAGGCACTTCTGGTCCTGGCCTCGGGGAGGAGACAGGGGCAGTAGGGCCGATCCCAGGAGCTTCCCACCCATGCTGCGGCCGTCACTGCTGGCACCAGACGGTCTCAGGCCCCAAAAGCCAGACCCAGCCCCAGGACGGCAGGGCTGGCAGTCGGGACAGGAGATCTCAAGGCACTGGGCACAGCTGGGGCGCTGCCCACTGAGCTCCTGGCGAGGAGACTGAATGGGCAGAAGGCAGCTGCGGGGTCTGAGGGGTTGTGGAGGTGCAGGCAGCGTGCTGAGGCCTCGACCCCTCAACACGCAGTGCCCTTCCCAGCCCTGGGCACTGCCTAGCCAGCCGGCACTCTGCAGACACTCGCCCGCACCGCACCGGTAGCTGGCAAAGGCACATGGCAGCATTGTCACTGGCACAGCAGGGACCTGCTGAGCCCCACGGACGCTGTGGGGAGCGAGCTGCTCTGGGGTGCCCAGGAAGTGCCCAGCCACAGCCAGGAGGAGTGAGTGGGTGCCCCTCCGCCCCAGGGCTAGTCACCTCCAGCGGGTGACCTCCAAGCTGTCGCGGCAGGCGTTGCGGGCTTGCAGCATGCTGCGGCGGGCGGCCTCCTGCTGGGGTGGGCTCAGGTGGTGGATCACCATCAGGTAGCGGTAGTTGCACACGCGCCACTGCACATTGTGCTTGGCGAAGCGGGTGCTGGCCTGCGCCCGGATGCCCGCCGCCTCCGCCAGGATGCCCACGTAGGCATCCTCCACGGGGATGGGCCGCACACGCTCCGCCGCTGCCAGCACCTGGGCAGCCGCCTCCAGAGACAGCACGTAGCCGATGCCGCTGGCGTAGGGTGGGTACTTGTCGGGGCCGTAGTCCTGCCGTGACACGTACCACTTGCTGGAGGGCTCCCGGATGACCTGCCGCTTCTCCCGCGAGAAGACGGAGCCGGCGTAGAGCCTGGCAGGGACGGGGTCAAGCTGCGCCAGGAAGCCCGGGAGCCGGTCCGTGTTGACGAAGCAGTCGTCATCCGTCTTGAGCACGTAGCGGGGCCGGCACCGCTCGGCCGCCCACTTGAGCCCGTGCATGACCTTCAGCGTCAGGTTCCGGTACGTGTCTCGGTAGTTCCCCACCAGGATGTCCCCAAAGTCCTGCTGCTCCTGCCGGATGCGGCTTGCGGTCCCAGCATCCGCCGCCTGCCCCACTAGGAACACGGCCTGCCAGTGGAACGGCGCCGGCTCGTCCTGGGCGCCCCACGTCCTCCGGATCACGCGCCTCTGCTCCCAGTTGCCCGGCGCAGACGTCACCAAGATGAGGAGCACCTGCCCCGGCTCACAGCGCGGGGCTGCACCCGGGCTGGCGAGCAGGGATGGGAAGTTCACCCCGCTGGGCGCGGGGGCTGCGCCCCCAAAGCACCACCTCCAGAGGGGCCTGCCCCGGGCCAGGGGGAAGCGGCCGGAGACTACCCAGGCCCCCCGGGCATCCTCCGTGACCAGCAGCAGGCCCCAGAGCAGGAGGAGTGCCAGGAGGAGGCTGGCACAAAGCAGCTGTCTCGGGCGCCGCAGATGCATCGGGGCCGCGAGTCGGGCACTCAGTGGTCATGGTCAGCTGGGCAGCCCCCGCGCTCGCACGGATCCGGCCCGGCACGGGGGGAGCACGGCGTGCAGCCCTGCCAGCTCACGGACACGCTCGGAGCAGACCCCCTGGACCTGGCGGCAGCGGATGCTGCAGGCTCCTTCCACGCGGGGCTG